GATCTGATCTATTCAGCAATAGCTAGATCAATCAAGATCTGAATCTATTCAGCAATAGCTAGATCAATCAAGATCTGAATCTATTCAGCAATAGCTAGATCAATCAAGATCTGAATCTATTCAGCAATAGCTAGATCCAATCAAGATCTGAATCTATTCAGCAATAGGCTGGATCAATCAAGATCTGATCTATTCAGCAATGGCTGGATCAATCAAGATCTGGATCTATTCAGCAATGGCTGGATCAATCAAGATCTGAATCTATTCAGCAATATAGATCAATCAAGATCTGAATTATTCAGCAATGGCTGGATCAATCAAGATCTGGATCTATTCAGCAATAGCTAGACAGATACAATTGCTATTCCAATCTCTATCAAGCAATGGTTTGGGCTATCAATATAACCAGTGTACATGAATTTCAAGAAACTGTCCCGAGGAGCTTACATGATTAAGCTATGCAGCTGACATTAACTAGGTATTCATATCAAATGTAAAAAACCCATATCTGCACAAAAACAGGGAAATGAAGTTGCAGACATAACAAAGCAGTTTTACAAATATTTAAGTGATATGCTAAATATTTATAATGTTCATAAATTCACTTTTGAAAAATATGACCTGATGGATTCATGTATATTTCAAATAATCATTTCGCCAGAATAGTAATATTATAGAGTTAAAAGATTTAGTGGTAAAAGCAGTGTAATTTCAATTAACCCAGTCTAAATTTAATTTGCCAGTGGCAACTGGAAAGGCATTAGGCTAGAGACTTAGTTTAACCAATCTTTCTGTTTTTTAAAAACATTAACTGGACTGTTTTTGATACTGGATTATTCACTTTAGGGCAATTTGAAACCCGCACATCTGGAAAAAATTTAAATCATTAAGTTGGCAACTACAGGTTAATCTAATTAGGAATACTTAGACAATAGGTATGCCACCTGAAACCAAACAACCATTTATTAATACAAGAGATTAGTGATTAATCCATTGAATAATTCATCAGCAGACTAGGTAAGCAGGATTAGCACTGATTTCTCACACTGAATTAGATTAGGATTTTAACCACTACAAAATAAATGCATGTGATCTATTGTTTTATTTTTTCAAAATATGTACACTCATGGTTTTAAATAACCAAAAATGTCAATCATGAACTTTCAAGTCATCCACTATAATATAGTTGCATTCACACTTTGTATTATATGTGTCGAGGCGAGATGCAAATCATAGGTGTGTTAGTTACATAAGTTGAATTGTCTAGTTAGACATCAAAATGTTTTCTATAATTATTATTCCATTTGCTGTATTATTTCTGTGCAGCAATAGCTTTGATGTTTAGTTTAGATTATTCGTATTCATATTATATCCTTATGACGTTATTATCATGATCAGTGATTGGTTTAGAACCGACCTATCACAACTTGAATTTCGTGTCATGTGACACTGGAGATCCTCGCGCCATTATTATCGTTGTTATTATTTTTTGTTGATGTTTCAAGCCGATATTTCCTGTTTCGTAATTCAATAAATGTCAATCCTGACATGAAACTTTCCGACTTCAATAATTGTTCCGAACTATAGTATACAGTGGCTATACTTCGAGCCTAATCACAGCCACAATATGCACAACATCTCTCACTCTCATCTCTCACAAGCTAAATGTGACCAGCTTTTGAGACCCAGTCTAGAAATTTAGCATGAGCTACATGTAACGAAGTGTGTGTGAACAGTCAACCCTCGCTAATCAGAAATATCAGTGATGTTGACTCTATTCTTGCTGTTTTATGTAACTTTCTGAATTTGCATTGTTATTGTTTCATAATCAGAAACAAAAATGTACATCTCTGATTTTTTACTGTACTGAGTGGTTTGGCATATTCTTTGTGAGTTTGCTCATCACTATACAGCCCATACTAAAATGTGCCCCCCTCCCCCCTGTGGAAGTACACAACTGAGCCTATTCGATATGCAAACATATGAAATTAGCTTTAATCTTTGACCGTACTACAGCGTAGCCTAAACACAGTCCAAATTTGATTTCTAGATTCCGATGGATCTGATTTCTCATGAACTGTACCAAAATTCGAAATCTACAAATCATACAAAGTGTGAATTCAACTTTAAAGAAAATACAAATTTATTATGCACAAAATAATAACTAGGCTTAATTCATAACATATAATTTGCCACAATATGGGTACTAGAGATATGGATACCTGAAACACTGCATTTATTGATATCATAGTGAAACAGGAAGTTGGTAAATAAATACATGTTATCATCAAGTATACTATACACTAATTTATCAATATGTTTTTAGCTCCATGGTTTGCCGAAAAAAAACACTTGGGGAATACATCAGCTGATATCATCAAGTAAGTAACAGGATACTGTCAGTAAATGAAGAACCCTAAAACCCTAAATGTGAATATGTAATATACATAGTAGGGTATAGTAAGGAACTATGCTATGTTTATTATATTTACATGAATACGTTTCATAATTGGGAAATGTATGACAATATCAGTTACTAAATATCTCCCACACTCTTATTGTCAGCCATATTTTGAGTCTACCATACAACTCAATTATTAGTTAAATGTTGAATTACTTGAAAAACATTTGGCATTATGGTACAAATTCACAGCCTAATGAGACTGTGAATTAATTCCCTCAGAAACTGTTGCTGCAGCTATAACTAAAGTTCAACAAATGTTAAATAGGACAAAAATGTATAGGTGAAATTGGAAATTGTTGCCATTAATTGGTGTTTTTCAATTATGGAGCTTGTGGTAAGCTTCATTGTATATTTTATGAAACGTGCAAGACATTAGTTACTATTTATTACAATTAACAGACATGTGTCTCTGTTCTATGAATGAGACAATGTATCGCAACTTGTAATTCTTGAATAAAGTATTAGAAGTATTGCATCATAAAATTAACCTGATACCTACAAATCTGAAATTATTAAATTAAATTCATTAGTTTATGACTAGGTGAGTTGACCACTGACTAACACCACAATTCAAGTTCAAATCTAGAGTCCCATTAATAGATATTTTGAATATGTATGCAGCTGTTCCGAACATTGTTAAAATTGAGATATTATCTCATATCTGGTACATTCTGTGATGTAGATATAAGCTGGTATCCGGTCACAATGCCCAGCTGTACACTGTGACAAGAATGAAATATGTGCATTTCAATAGCATTTACAATATAATAAATCAACTTGTACAGTTCTCTTGATTGCGACCAATCTGATCGCCATAGTGATCAAATTTGATGAATGTGATTAAAATTTTATGTGTATTTATCCAGCATGTTTTCATGGGGTAAAATACAATAAAGAAGAGAATCATACGTTGCGTAATTACTGTATATCATATATGCTTGAATAAATATCAGAATTTTTACCTTATTGTTTATTCTTGGTAGTTTATTATGTATGTGTAAAACATAATGGCGACCAACAATTTTGAACTTGGCTACTAAATTTTCCAGTTAGTTGGTTGCCAACGGCTACTAAAGAAAAAATTATATATTGACGGCTGTTGTACCAGACTATCCTTTTAATGTAACCATCTGAATTATCACTATCATTGCTCTAGAATGTATGTAGAATAACATTGTGTTGTCTTATTTACAACATACAATGTAGAAATCATAATGTAGGCTAATCAACGAATAATGATACATTTCTATTAACTTTTTATGTGGCTGACATTTCTAATGCCAAAATATTTGTCCAAATGCATATACTGTATTTGCTCTGTGAGAAGAACTTCTCCAATAGAAGCGCATATAAACCAAAAAAAATTGCATGTGCTGTATTCTGATTCATTGAAATATGAATAATTTTGCACATAGAAAAACATCTGTAATGTACATAAGCACATACACTTCCAATAGATCAAATACGGTATATACGTTTAAATTATATATATTTGGAACTTCATTGGACACATTCGACACACGATTCAGACTCTCCATGCACATATATCATGATGAACTTTATTCTATCACATAATGGCAAATTAAGAATAAATGTGAGAATAATTCCCAAAAAAGTTGCTTTCGTAAGTTGTCCAAATATTTGAGTATGATGTGATGGATATGAAAAAAAAAAACAATTTTGGATGAGAACAAAACAATGTATTCATGCTGTTAATTTTACTGCAACTCATCATAGGAACCATGAACTGATACAATATTTTATCCATTCCTTTGTATTGACTTTTACTGGCTGACTACGCTAAATCTGGCACGTAATGCTCAGAAATTTATGCTTCTTGCATATACTTTTAATTAAATGATGAAATAATAAAATGTCAATGATTTCGCAGACTGTTTCTTGTCCTCCATATACTTTGTTTTAATCACTATTTAATTGCCTGGACTCATTAACCATACCCATATTAAATTACTGTAAATATTCTAATTTAGGCGTAAGTCTAATTTATGTTTTTCATAGTCACTCATGCCTATCCACTAATACAGTGGTTATTGTGAATGGTGTAAATTGGTAGAATCCATTTAGAAAATGATCTGTTATCACCATGACAAGTGTTAAATACTTTGTCAATCCTCAGGATATCTTCCCAAAAAAATACCAATTCCATATTTTTTTTAAAAAAGAATCACGCCTCCAGTGAAATCAATGTAAAAACATTGTACTTCAACATAAATAACTTCTCTGTAATACAATACAAACAAATTCTTAGATATTTTAGGCTGCACCACAAAGTGTTCTGGATTGGTTAATAACTGACTTGACCTATCAGATTCTGGTTAACTCAAGCACGAAAAAAAACATGCCAGATATAATTAAGGGTTTGCAGGCAATAGAAAACATTCACTTTCAATGAAGTTTGACTTTTATTTCAAAACAAGCCAACAAATAGATTTAGAATAATAATCAACATTTGTAACACCTCAAAAACAAATTTATTCGCCTGTGAAACAGCTTGACCAGATTTGTACTACTATCGTTGATCATTTTTGCTACCACGCAATTTCATTTGTGTTCATTTTCATTTGAAACATTTTCTATACTTTTCATTTAATACTAACAAACTTAAAACCAATGCATATCATATTCAAATCACTAAAATATTTATCTAGTTTTTTGTTATCACAAGGAAAACACCAATATATTTTTTTGTTCATGAGACACCTATTTAAGAACCAAATGAAGACCTTCACTCCTAAATTAGAGTGACGCCTGAATTAGAATTAGTACAGTAAGTATATTTTGTGCATGCACAGTTCGTTTTTCAATAATTGCTCTCTACAGGCTGATTTTTTTCTATTTTCCTAGAAATTTTTAACAAAGAATTAATTGACAGTCCTTGTGTTTGAACTCGTAGGCTTATGATCAAGATAGAAAACTGACGATCTGATGGCATTAGTTTGATTCCCCATTAGAATCATAAAAATAAAAACACAATCATCACACAACAGAATGTATAACCTTGTTCCTTATAGCATCAAAAATAACATTCCTTGATAACATTTGGCACTCAAGTGAGACCAACAAAAGAAGAGCGGAGCAGTGTACATGTGTACAAAGTCTGTTAAACCATGCAATTCTCAGTACCTCAAATACAGAGTGTGTGTTTGTTTGATTTGACAGTAACCACATGACTTTTGAACTTCCGGGGTGGACATGTTTTGTGTTCTGCAGTACAAGCACATATAGTGCATGATGTTTTAAGCTGATTGGCAAAGGAAAATGCAATGAACTGCCATTCAGTGACCTAATAAAATTTACACAAATGCAGTTTTCAACATCTTTTTGATTTCATCTCTATTTGACCTTATCTTGTCTATCACTAGAGCACAACTCATCAAAATTTATGGAATATTGGTTGACGAATTAATTAAACCTCAAAACATACCAGTAATGTTAGGAATACAGTTCTTACTACGCTTGTTCGACTGAGAATCTGAAAAAAAAACTATTTCCTCATGTAAACTTATTTTGCCAGGAAAATATTTTTTTTATTCAGCATCCTGTTTCATAATGTGTCAGTTCAGATATGGAACCAAATTCAGATCATCATTAACTTATTATGCAACTTATATTATGTATTACTACTACAGTGAGTCTATTTTTGGCTAAACCGAGTGGAACTCTACCCAAGTTACAAATAAGATTAACATTTTCATTTATGGTACCCAAATATTTCAACATATTTTGATGCAGCGTACAAAACACAGTGAAAATGTTCCAAAGATAAGCACATTTGTATTTGAGGTACTGAGAATTGCTTCCATGGCCTGGATAAACATGGGAGATGTAGACAAATTATAGTATCGATACAGCATAATTATCTCAGTCTGTCCATACATCCAATGTAATTTAGTGAAGTAATGACACAATAAACTATGGTTTGTCCCATTAATTATTATGCTGATTGCTCAGGCTGAGTCAGGTTCTTCATCCTAGGTAGACACTGTGTATTATTTATGCTGACCCAGAAAATTTGGCATTTGACCAAATTGTCAAAGACCAGAGAGAAAAAAAAAAAAAAAAAATTAACAAAATGCTGCCTGTCAAGAGGTTGACAAGTAGCTGGCTAGTAATACACTGGAGAACAGTATTTTATATGTACAAATGTTAGACAATCTACCTACAAAACAATTTTGCAAAAATTACTTAGATTGACAAGACAGTTTTAATATCTTTTGATTAACACACAAAATACTATTTTAGTTTCAATCAGCTGCAATGTGTAGATATGCGGATTCAATGCCAACATTGTGAACAATAAATAATAATAACTTTATTTCTCTACAAGTACCATCTGATCTGAGAGTACTGTATGTTGAAGAGACAAAACATAAATACATTATACAAACAAATAAATAAATAAATAAACAATACATTTATTACAGAGATATTAGTAACTGTTTGTTCTTATTTAAATACATCACAATTCTTGTCACGTTGGCCTTGAATCCCAAACGAAAATCATCTCTGTTTCCTTGCATTATTGGTTGATGACGCATAATAGCAATACAAGACTGTATCTTTATCAGTCCTGCTGTTTTTTATCACACGCCAAAACAGATTAAAATAAACAACTTTACAAAACCATCCGAGTTTGAAAACCCGATTTGTTGGTATTTGTAGAATCACATCACTGCTCGCAAGATCAATAGCACTTACTGGGCGACCAGGAAGTCAAACTAGACAACTAAATCATTGGTAAGAACACGAGTTGGTTAATCAAGACATCCTTACCTGTACTTCTCGAAAGAAGAACCCACATGTAATAGCATTAAGTTACTAGATCTGGCGCTGAAAATCGATCACTGGGGTCAGTTCAAAACTTGCCGAACGTCGACGGTATATACACATGGGAAGTTCCGAGGGAAAGAAGAGATGATCAAAATGGCCGAACTTGTATCCTTCCACGAATGTAGTGCATACACGTTCATTAATATAGTAGTATTGACTCCAAAATGTACCTATTTGATCATGCATATAATGGAAATAGTAACTAGTCATGGAATATAAACAATATGCGCAGAGTTAACATTTCAAACGTTCGTATTCACATTTTCAACGTCTGAGTGATTGGGCGGAAATAACTACAATAAGTAAATGTACCATTGCGCAGCGCCCGGAAGTTTTGGCATGATGAATGATTGCAGGGACGGATCAATTTGTCAATGAGGCGTTTATGCAATGCGTCAGTGGTGTGTCGTTATGGGATGTAAAGTTCGCAACGAGAGGCAATAATAAATTTGCAATTATAGATTTTGCGGAATTGCAATTGAATTACCCTAAATGTCGAAAATACGCCATAGATCACAGTAGCAATCATTAATAGTATCCTCAGATTCCGCTTGTTAAAACTGAATGCGCTTGAAAAGTCAAAAAGTGATACATCTAAATTTTGGAAAATACTGAATGATTTAAACAATGACAGTATAACACATTCAGATAATGAACCTATTTCACCTGAGGACTGGTTAATTTACTTTAAAAAACTGTTAAATAAAAACAACACTGTTCACTCTAATATGAAAACACATCTAGAAACTTTAAAGAAAAATGTGGACGCAGTCAATACAGAATCTTTAAATGGTTCTATTCAAAAAAATGAAATTAAAAAAACAATTAGCCAATTAAAAAATAATAAGTCATCAGCAGAAGACAAAATCAGTAATGAGGTTTTTAAATGTAGTGGTTATCACCTGTCAGACGCACTACAGAAACTTTTTAACATAGTGTTCATGTCTGGCAAATTCCCTGATTCTTGGAATACTAGTCTTATTGTACCCTTGCACAAATCTGGGTCAAAATTGAACCCTTCTAATTACAGGGGAATAGCAATTTCAAGTTGTTTAGGAAAATTATTTAATAGTATTTTAAACACAAGACTAGTTTCATATCTAGAAAAAAAAATATCCTCTCGAATAAACAATTTAGATTCAGGAAAGACTGTCGGACAACAGACAATCTGTTTATCCTGAAAACTATTATTAA